TTACGTTTTGGTTTCATGTGCAAAGTTATATACACAATCTTTTCGCCCAAGAGATTCACAGCCTTACACTGATAAGTTACACCGTCGCTTCGTCTAAATTTTTTTATCGTCAGTTTGCCACTTCTCTGCACACTCCTTTCTGAAGGAAAGGAACCAAATAGTCTTGACCAAGTAATTACAGGTGTTGGATATCCCGATGCTGAACATGTCAGATTGACAGTGCTTCCTTCTGTAACAGTTTGAAATTCTTCTGGTACAACGGTAAATCTAGGAGGAACTACATACGAACAGTTAGAAAAATGTTTAACATTTCTTTGTACGCAGGCATATGTATTAAGAAATTAATGAATATTTCAATTAAAGCATATCAACTTTAACGTCAATTTTGTAAAATATATTACTTAAACAAATTTTACTGGCATTACAACTAACCTCGGACAAGAACTGAAATTGTCCTTGCGTCCTCCCCGAGAACATTTTTTGCAGTGCACGTGTAGTTTCCTGTATCGTTTTCATCAACATTCGAGATTTCAAACAATCCTGATTTATCTATTCTGGCTTTGCCAATATCAATCTTTCCATATTCCTTCTTCCATGTAATCTTTGGTTTGGGATTACCGTGGGCATTACAATGAAACGTAGCTGTCTGGTTCTCAGTAACTGTCAACGTCGATGGCGACACAAGTGCAGAAGGCTGAGAAATCTTTTCCCCTCGATCACCTTTCGGTCCCGTCAGTCCTGGCGGTCCTGGATTTCCAATATCGCCCTTTTGTCCCTTTAGTCCAGGAGGTCCTCGAAATCCTTGTTTACCATATTTTCCAGGAAGGCCTTTTGTTCCCTTAGGACCTGGTCGACCTCTTCTTCCTCGAGACCCTCTTCTCCCCCTTAGACCTCTCATACCAGGAGCTCCCCGAACGCATGTTTTATCTGGCGCTTGACAAAACAGCGAGGCCGTGAGGTTTAAAACTTGATTACGTACTTCCACACGAATTGAATCCAATACATCTGGCGAAATGTTAGAAGTCGAGCGTTTAACGCGGTTGGTGATTTGGGTCTCACCAGTATTTCCTTTGTCTGGTGTGACCTTTATACCATCATGAACTGTTTGGAAGTAAACACAATGTTAAAAGTTGGCCAAGAAACAAAATGTTCAAAGATATATACACCTAATTGAAGAAACTTTGTCGGGCCCAAAAAGGTCAAATCATAGAAGCTAAGACCGAAAGGGTACTTGGGAAGACAAACAGTTTGGCTAATTTCATACAAACAGCTCTCCAGCATAAAAGACTAGCATGCTGTTAATATTACTAGCTCTACCTGCTTTACGGTACACCGTATATACAAATGTAATCCCAATTTAGTGGTACTCAAAATTCCTTTCTGTCTTAGCTTCAATGATGTGACCTTTTCGAACACGACTACGTTTTTTCAATTAGGTGTATGGCTTTGGATAATAAGTAGGTTTMAGTTAATGTCATTAAAGTCAAGTGTCTATTCAAGCTGCGCTATAGAATAATAGGGAAAAAAATTAACAGTTTTCTTTCAGAAAACTTGTTTATCGTATGCTGAAGAAGTTAGCACATATATGCGACGAGATATACCGTGTTGTGTCCATTTTTTGAAAAAGTATACAAAGAAAACTAAGAAGTACATGAGATAAACAACGGNAACAATTCGCAGGCGGTTTTCCATTGTCTGTACTCTTATTGACAATGAAATTGACGTCAAAAATGCTCAAAACTTTGCAATGAAACCAATCGCTTACGCTCGTGGTTCCACTTGAGTTTTGAGCATTTTGACGTCAATTTCATTGTCAATAAGAGTACAGACAATGGAAAACCGCCTGCGAATTGTTAAATATATTATTTCTTGACTCGTGCAAAAAGGAATAAGTCCCAAACAATATCTCAGAAGAGCATTCTTCTCTATAGTGATTTCGAATAAAATTGATAATAATCCAATGAGACAACTTTAAGATGATGACAACAAGAGCGAAACCTTCATACTCAAGAGTAATACAATTGTTGGCCTTCTGGAATAAACTGGACAGTTTTAAACTATCGAATACTTGTTATACCTTGGACATTAGCATACATTTCTTTACGGCAGCAAGACTTAAGTTCTTCATCATGTACCCTTAAGCGATCTTCGACATCCACAAGACGATGATTTGTTGTGGCATAGATTGAAAAGATACCAGCAAAAATTATCAATGTCACTATATGCGAAAGGAATGTGACAACGAAGAACTTTGTGTGGCTACAACTATACGGTTTGCCTGGATCCTTTGAAGAAGACATATTGGCGATTCGTTCCTGTGTTCACCGATGAGAATGGCACAACGACGAACGTGAAGAATATATTATTACTTATGATAGGACCAGACACGTTGCGCTGTGACTGCGGCGAAATTGATCTGCATCACTGTCGTTGGGGTCGAACTTCCTTTTTGGCTCACGCAGCGTGAACTTAAAATTGCTTCGCAAAAAACAGCTCCACAAATCTAATGAATATCGGGCAATATGTGCTAGTGAGAGCAGAAAAAGAATTCGCATGTTCAACACCTATACACTGAGTAATTAAAACAAGCTACTTTTCTCAAAAGTTGTTTTAAGCTCAAATTTACTAAATATGGGACATATAAAACGTGCGTCAATGACCTTTCTTTATAACTTTACGTAATAAATCAAAAGGAATTAAACATGTTATTACCAAACGTTTCTGTTGGTGAATACAAACGATTCAGTTAAATTTTTGTATGTAATAGGACTCCATGCTGGAAGAAAGTTCCGAGGCCAGGATTGTCGAAATTGGACACAATATCAGTATAATATCATTATTACCTGTAAATCATATATATAGGGTATTACACGGTAGAAATGAGCAGTAAAAAATTATTTATTTGACGTGCGCGTACATACGGTACATTTTGGCACATAAAAACGTGTTTTAGCTTCCGGTAAAATACTATTAACCATCTAATAAATCAACGTATTATTTCTAATTATCGAAGAGTTTAGAAAGTAATTGGGCAGCTATCCATTTAGGATTGATAAGTACATAAATAATTGTCTACGTTACAGGCTTTTTAAACTTGAAAATGAGAATTGCATACAAAAGCTTGTATCAACTTCCGGTGACCACGCCCCCAGCAATGCCCGGCTATAAATAGCACTCGATTGGAACCTTTTTGCTCATTTATTCAGAATCGGCTCTAAAATGTTGATTATTAACATTGGATTTATAAAGTAATATTGAAGCTTTAGTAAAAGTCGTATTTATTTTGAAAAGTATAAACGAAATACGCAGTGTCTAAACGTCAGGCAGCCTGACCTTTAGTCCCAGGACTAAATGTCAGGCAGTCGATTTTTGTGTGTGAAAAATCGTCGGAACAACCGTAATTTCAATTAATACAACAAGGGAAATGCAAGACCGAAATAATACTGTTCGACAAGTTTGTATAGTCACAAGGACGGCACTTTGAGATTTTTTGACTGCCTGACGTTTAGTCCCAGAACTAAACATCAGGCTGTAATTTTTTGTGTTGAAAAATCGTCGCAAATAACCGTAATTTCAATTAATGCATCAAGGGAAATGCACTAAAGAACGAAATAATACTGTTCGACAAGTTTCAAACACAAGCACGGCATTTTTAGATTTTTCGACTGCCTGACGTTTCGTTTAGTCCCAGAACTAAACGTCAGGCAGTCAACTTTTTTGTGAAAAGTCGTCGGAACAACTGTAATTTCAATTAATAGCACAAGACAAATGGAATAAAGACCGATATAACTGTGTCGGTCCATGGAAAATCGACTCGATGGTATACCATTTTTTCTTAGCTATGGTGCTCCGCTCGCGCGGGCCTTCGGCACGCGCGGGAGCTCCGCTATCATTAACTGCCTATCAAATATCCTAATAATATCCCTTCAAAATGAAGAAACAATGGTCTTATTATAGGCTGCTTGGGCAATGATAAATTGTTTTGGTAATGGTTGAAGGGGGACGGTCTGATACAGAAAGGGTTAGAAAATTTCACTTTCGCAACTCTGGTATGTCTGTATTTTTCAAAAATTTGACTGCCTGACGTTTAGTCGCAGTCGAAAAATCTGTGCCGCGTGTTTGCGTATTGTCGAACAGTATTATTTCTGTCTTTGTTGCATTTCTATTGTCGTATTGAATTGGAATTACTGTCGTTCTGACGATTTTTCAAAAACAAATTCGACTGCCTGACGTTTAGTTCTGGGAATAAACGTCAGACAGTCGAAAAATCTCAAAGTGCCGTGCTTGTGTTTGAAACTTGTCGAACGATATTATTTCGGTCTTTATTGCATTTCCCCTGTTGTATTAATTGAAATTACGGTTGTTCCGACGATTTTTGAAGAAAAAAATCGACTGCCTGACGTTTTGTCCTGGGACTAAACGTCAGGCTGCCTGACCTTTAGACACTCTGAAAGAAAAAGACCTTTGCAATTTCAAACACCTGTAATTTCTGGTCCTTAAATGTAGAAGCATTGAAACGTTCAGATCTCACTCATTATAACATGTTCTTTCAACGGGTAGCAATGATATATTAAACAAATTATAAACTCAGGCGTTRCGATAGCCACGCCCTTTTTCATATGKTCTGTAARCAATTTCTTAATCATTTACGATCCAAGAGCTGATGCCATACAKCTCAAAAGAAAACCAAAGGCTTATTATATTTTTTGACTGCCGATTGTATTATATGAGTGATTGTTACTGTACCTGTTAATATAATTCAAAATAATGGAGGAGTGCTAAAAAAAGTAATAAGCATAGTACTGGTACAAAGTAAAAAAGATATATGATTTYATCAAATATACTGCAATTTGTACTAACTCCGACCATACATCTGCCATATTTTAAAATAAAAAGTCATTCTTTTCTTGTTTTCAGTTCATTTGCATTTTAAATCTGTAAAAATAATTGTTCAAGCCTATAAATTCAGATATTCTCCTACTTTACACTAACTCCGAGCCCGGCCGTCTGTCATATTTCAAAATAATAAATCATCCTTTGATTGTTGTCAGTTCATTTAAATTTTTAATCTGTAAAATGTTCTTATTCAAAACCTGTTTAATGCATATTTTTCTGTGTCTTCATTATTTTGTTGTTGTGTTTCTCGAGAAGTGCTCAGAGGCATKTTCCATTTTAAGATAAAATTGTTTTTCCAAAAAATATCACTGGAAAAAATCGCGCGCCTTAAAATTTACAACCTTTAAAGCGCGCGATTTTTTCCAGTGCACCTTGTACACTAAGAGCACTTATAATAGCCCTTAAAGTTTACAGTTTGGTTCATAGTTGACATCCATAAAGTTCCATTCTAATAACCATGTAGCTATGGTATGTCTTGGGGAGAAGTCTAATATACCTGGCAGTTATAGGAGGATCAAGGTTATTTTTTACAACCGTTGTTCGATCCGAATTTCCRGGTAAAGTCTTTCCCCCTTCATAGTCTCTGAAGCTAGTTCCATCGTAGCTGTACTGAAGACTATAGCTTGTCGTCCATTCATTATACTTAGGAGTACCTTGAGTTGCAATTGCTGTAACTCTGGTTGCTTGAAGTAGGTCAACTTGTATCCACTGTCCTAYTGTATTTGATTTTGCAAGCCATCCACCATTACTATGGAATATGTTAAGTCTACCATAAGATGGGAGATAGTTACTGCTATAAATCGAGGAAGCTGTAATCTGCGAGTCACGGATAGCCTTACTTTGCATACCAAGTGCCTTGCGCACACACAGCCCTATACAAAGTAAATAAATAAGCTTAAATGTATAGTGTGTATGGTTATACAGATAGCAACTGCTATCGATGTCCTTGATC